TCAGTCCTGTTTTATAACAGTGGCACTATGCAGCATTTGTCCTTTTGTGACTGAGATATTTCACTCAGCAAAATGTCCTCCAGGGTCACCCATTCTGTATAATATTTTATGTTTTTGTGTTGATTGACATCAAGTCGAGTACGACTCATAGAGACTCTATGAGCAAAAGACCTGAAGCCTTTCAATAACTATCAATTCTCAAAGTTCATAGAGTTTCCAGAGGCACATTGTTTAGGAATTGGTTGCCACTCCTGCTTCCAGTATTTTGAGTGCCTTGTTTTTCAGTGCTGCACAGTATTCCATTGTGTGAATATACCACGGCTTCTCTATCCATTCATTTGTTGATGGTCTCTTGGGTTGCTTCCATCTCTTTGCTATTGTGAACAACACAGCAATAAATATAGGTGTGCATTTATCTGCTTGGGTGGCAGTTCCGGTTTCTTTAGGGTATATTCCCAGTAGTGCAATTGCTGGGTCAGATGGTATATCTATTTCCAACTTTCTTTTTTATTGAGATGTTAATGAAAGTTTATAGAGACTTTGAATTTCCATTCATTCATTGTTACACATTTTAAGAAAGCACCATACTGCCTTTCAGATTGGTTGCATAAAAAATAAAATTTAGAGGGAGCTCTGGTGGCCTAATGGCAAGAAGCTGCACTGCAATCCCAGAGGTATGCAGTTCGAATCGACCAGATGCTTTGCTGGTGAAGGAGGGACAATCTCCTGTACCAGTCAGATCTGATTTGATGGTGTACACACACAAAATATAATAAAATAATTTTTTAAAAAAATAAAATTTAAAGAAAAAAAGAAATTGGCCCTTCACGCTGATATTAATCCCTTGTTGTTAATCAAGTTGGCCCCAACTCATGATGACCTCATGTGCTGCCCACAACAACACTGTCCCCGAGTTAGAAGGGGAAGAGACCACTGTGATCCATGAGGTTGTCACTGCCTGATTTGGGGAGTTCCTCCCTCAGTAGACCATTCTTCCTGCCCTGTCTCGGTTTGTAAGCTCTGCTGAAACCTGTTTGGTATTACAGCAATACACAGGCCTCTAGTGACAAAGAGCTAGGTAGGGGTGGTGCTTGGCTGGAACTTGAGCCTGGATGATCAGAATCCTACCACATGTCATCCCACCAAAAGAGACGGAAAAGGCCATACTCACGCTCATATGGAATCGCAGAGGGCCTGGAATAGCCTCCAAATGTCCTCAGTCAATCCCTTTGAATGACTTTACTGCTCTGGAATCACAAGGTGATAGGCCCTTTTGAGGACTGCTCCGTGGTATCTTTTCTAGACAGAGCAAGCACTTAGAGGCTTTGTTACAACACACTATTTGGGATTTTCTTACTGTGATTTTAATGAAGGTTTACAGAGAAGTTGGCTTTTTATTCAGTCGTTGTTGCACATCTTCCCTTCAGCGTAAAAATCTTCTCTCGGGCTCAAAAGACACTGAAGCTTGTTGGGATCCCTGATAGTTTGATTCTCAGAACATTTTGTGCTTAGCTAGCCAGTTTTTATGTAGTCAACCCATTGGCAAGGTTCTATCAGTAGTTCATAGGGACACTAGAAGTCAGCACGTAAGTACAACAACAAATGCCCATTGGGAATTAGGCAGGTCATCTGGGCTTGATTTGAGTTAGTTCCTTGAGCTAAGAATTAGAAATTTCTTGTAGTCTCATGTCTGTAGATAATCACATGTTTTCATAAGCATCAATGTTGTCCCCCAAAACTTTGTTTTGGGAGGTTTGGTTATAATTCCCAATTTTCTCTGAATATATATTGATAGTCTCTAATGGGAAGCAGATAAATATAACAGGAAGTCACTGGAGAAGTTCATTAATAGGGGTGCATGGTACAGATGGAGGAGCTTATGAGATACATTTGTCCCTATTATTTGTGGGATACGTTCACTACAAAGATCTTTGATGGTGAATCAAAGGATTTGTAATTTCTGTTCCATTTTGCATTTCTATTCCTCTGTAGCCTTATTTCCTACCAACTTGGAATAATTAGTTTTGCTCTCATTTTCAGAAATCACCCCTAGTGGATATTCCTGTGCTGCAATTTAGCTACGCTTTCATCCAAAGGTAATCAATCCAGTACCCTCAAAGACACTTCTGACTTAAAGACTTAAAGATGCTAATTCCATGTCCATAAGTAGTAACTGATGTTAATGTCTTGACAGCTATAGGACCTTAGTTCAGAACATATATGAATCAGGTCTTAGAGTCTTCCTGAGGCATAGGGATGCCCTGATGTCTGTGCTTCTCCTTCAGAGATCTATCCGCCCTGATGTTTTAAAATCCAATTATTATTATTATTATTATTATTACTAGTACTAGTACTAGTACTACTACTACTACTTGCTGTGTGCTGTCAAATCGGACCTGGCTGGCACAGGAGGAGATTGCCCCTCCTTCTCCAGCAGAGCATCTGGTAGATTCGAACCATGCACCTTTGGGATTACAGTGCAGCTTCTTGCCACTAGGCCACCAGAGCTCCCTAGAATCCACTTTTTATTTGTTGAACATTTTATGCTAGCAAAGCTTTATTTAAGGCCTATTAAACTTTAAGAGAGGAGCTCTGGTCGCCTAGTGGTAGGAAGCTGTGCTTCAATCCCAAAGGCACACACAGTTTGACTCCACCAGCTGCTCCATGGGAGAAGGATGAAAAATTTAATCTGATACAGTTTACTGCCCTGAAAACCCACTAAATGATGAGCTATAACTCAACAACACACAACAGCAAACTTTAAAAGACTCAGGTTTGAATTAAATCAGAGAAGGGTTAAAGACCTCTTTCAGGAAAAGGAGAAGTGATCATGCGGTGCTGACCTCAGTGAGTTCCTGTCTGGCCTGGGTCACTGTGACTCCTGCTTTGTCCACTGAACTTCATGTCTGTGTCAGAGAATCTCAGTCAAAGGAGGGACTGGAAGGAAATTCTCTAGGATTTCCTCCATGGATGAAAAGGAGGCTTTCCAGGCCTACTTTAGCTCCCCAATTACATCCCAGTTGCAGTTTCCAGACCCACACGTCTACCTCCTCAGTGTACAGAACTTTCTCCATCCAAGAAGGGAGAGTGAGGCGTAATAAGATCCTAGTACTACTTAAAGTATAGCATCAAAATTCCAATAACTTTCCTTGCAGAAATGGAGAAATCAGTTCTCTAATTTATATAAAACAACATGGGGCCTGGAATAACCAAAGCAATCTTGAAAAAGAACAAAGTAGTAGGATTCACACTACTTGCACTCAAAGCATATTGCAAAGCTACAATTAATATACACTCTGGCATTGGTATCCAACCTACTTCTATCAGGTTGATTCCAATTCATAGCAATACTTTAGTGGGTTTCTCAGTCGTAAATCTTTATGAGAGGAGACTGCCCACCTTTCTCCCTTAGAGCAGCGAGTGAATTCAAACCACTGACCCTTCAGTTAACAGCCCAACAAGTAATGCCAAGACCTGCCAGGTATCATTAGTTTTGGTATGATACTAAGCATATGGACAATGAAATTGAGTTGAAAGCACACACAAAAAATATGTGTAAGTGTCCTTAGATTTTCAACAAGAGTGCTAAATCTATCAATGAGAAAAGAACAATCTAATAAATTATGCAAATAAAATAATAGAAAGAAATGTGAAAGATATAGGCCTCATCTCAAGAAAGCCCTGCTTTGGTGTGTATGTATCAGGAACTTCGCAATAAGTAATTTACAGTCTCTTTGGTTAACAAAACTGGCATTCCATAATTGTCCTGATGCAACACTTCTGGAGTTCAGAGTTGCGGAAAGGTATATTGAGGGTCATAATCTCTGACAAGCAATTAACCTGTGTCACCACAAATATTAATGGTTCTTTCCTTTGAGGGCTAAAGGTGGACAGAACTGGTCAGCTCTTCCCTTAAGAGAACTAGTAGGTATTATAGTTATTGGAGAAGTGGCTCAAGTTAAAACAGCTGAGCTTCACGGCAATGTTAGGTTAGGTGTATAAACACCTTCTGTAAACATCCTTCTTTTGCAGAAAAAAACTGCCAAGATCATACAGGAAATAGTAAGTTGGGGAACCAGGATTTGAACCGGAGAACCTGTAGCTGCAGTGTGAGCTTTAGTATACTCATGGGCTGGTTGTTTTGTAGCAATCACCACAGAATCCTCCTCATTCTCGTTGAGTCTTGACCTGAAAGTCACTGAAGGTCAGTCTCCTGGTGGGTGACTTGTGATCTTCCAATAATGGAGTCAGGTCACCAGTAATGGCCAGCGTCTATTAGAACAGTGCCAGACAGAATATTAGTGCTAGAAAGAAAAGACTCTTATCAAGTTTAAGGCTTCATTTTATAAACAGAGCCACCAGGAAGCCTGACGTTTCAGCAACAAAATCCCAGGTCTTTTAACTCCTTATTCTTGCCTGGATACTGAAATTCAGCTTGTGGTTATCTTAATACAAAAAAAAGAGTAAACAGGTTGTGTAGACAAGCCATTCCCTCCTCGGCTTTTAAGTCACCTGGCACCAAAAAACAAAAACAAAATACTTTTTTTTTTCTTTCTTTCTTTTTTTTTTTACTTTTAATGTTACTTAATGCTTAATTATTTACTCCCAGCCATAAGGGTTTTTTTCTTCCGTTTGTTCTGGGAGAACTTTTTCTTCTGGGCAACCTCCTCTTCTGGTTTAGGAACAGTCTGTTTGTTTTCAGTAAGGATCATCTCAGTATGGCAGTGGGAGCTCACGTAGAGGTAAACCCGACCATGAGTCTTCCGTGCAGCACATCTTGGGAACTTTGTTCACCTGAATTTGCTCAGTGACCAGAGAGTCCACATCTAAACCATGAAGTGCAGCATTACTCTCTGCATTTTTGAGCATATACAGCAAAAACTCTGCACTCTTTTTGGGCTGCTGACCCTGGGTCCAACCCTAGTGTTTGGCCTGGGTACACCTACCAAGTCCAGCATTGTAACGTCAGAATGATGCATACTGCTTTTGCAAAAGGACATCTTTCAAATTCTTGGTGGCTTTCTTGATATGCATGCCCTTGATGGCCTAGAAAGTTTCCCAGGTGGTAAATAGACCTGGAGATTTGAGCCTGGAGATTTGCATGATTCTGTGGGACTTTCTGGGTCAAGTGAGTAGTGAATCATTTTTGGAGTTCAACTGAAGCCCCTCATGGGACAGGTCACACACACACACAAAAAAAAATAATAAAATAAAAAATATATATGTATATTTTTCTATTTTATGTTTATGTTTATAATTATAATTATTTTTTTAGTTGTTCATGGTTAGAAATTTATTTTGCTTTCCTTTTTTTAAAAATAAATAGGCTCCCGACACCAGCCCTGCAAGAGAACTTCTCTTCATTGCTTGGAGTGTTAAAGGACTCTGTGCAGTTGAATCTTGCTCCACCAGGATATTTTCTGCTCCTCAGGTATCATACCACAGCCCTGACACTGTCACAGTGCTTGTTGGAACATTTTCTTCCTGGAGAATTTTTAATTTGGACCTAATTGTCTCAACAGCATGCTGAATGACTTTGTAACAAGAACACCCAGCCTAGAAAGCAAGAAGTATCAAAAAGACTTACAGGTGTGTATGTGATAAAGTACAGCAAATTGTTAGTCCTCCGGTCTTGTGCCTCTCTTGTTATTACTCGCTGTCCAATTGACTCTGACTCGTGGTGACCCCATGAGTACAGAGGAGGACTGCTCCATAGAGTTTTCAAGGCTCTGACCTTGTCAAACCCCACAAGACCAGTGGCTAGAATGACCCTACAGAGCACAGGTCAAATTCTGAAAGAAGGAATGGGAAAAAGCCAGGTTGATCAGATCTCAATTTTATTAGAAATTTCTATACAGAAGCTAATGTCTAGATTTTTGTGACAACAAAGCATGCTGTCCTGTCAGAGGGTCTCATGTAGAGAGGTCTGTTCATGGCAGGGCAGGGTGGGATTTCATAAACCGGTACTTGCATGCAAGGGTGCATGCAGGGGAATCCGGGGGGGGGAAAATGTCAAATCTATGATGGATAAGGTTGGTTTTGTGTCACAGTTGACATTACACTGGCTATAAGTGATTGGTATATTTTTCCCTGGCTTGAGTCACTACTTAGCCAAGCCCACTGATTTTCCTTCTGAGTCTTGTGGGTAGGATCCAGCTTGTATTGTTCAGGATCTTCTCAGGTGTTTCATAAGCAGATCACCAGATCTTTCTTTTGAGGTGCCTGTTTGTGCTTATTGTTAATATTACAGCCCTTTTTTGCACTACCCAGAAAGAAAATAAGTATGGACCATAAACACTGGGGCAGAATTTTATTTTAAAGATCTGCATTTGTTCCTGACTTTCAATTTCTATAAAGGTTTAGTTAGATCTAGAGACAAGGTTTGCTAATGAAGATTCTTGCATTGTGATCATGTAATATATTTAAATGAAACTTTAAAGATGGTGCCATTTACTCCGCACTCTACTCAGATATATTTAGAACTTACTCTTTATGATCATGTAATATATTTAAATGAAACTTAAAAGATGATGCCACTTACTCCCCAGTGTACTCAGATATGTTTAGAACTTACTCTTAATCACAATTTGAATAATAAACCTGTCTGTTTACACAGATATATTTTCTTAAACCTTCCCCCCACCCCCCATAAGCAAAGGGAGGAGTCCTGGTGATGTAATGGTATACTCCATGGCAAGTTGCACAGCTTTGAGTTTTGAATAAGATAAAAGCATTTAACCAGGGATAAGGCAGAAGGCAGAAGGAGGTAGACTAGAAGGATTAGTGGACATGAGAACCATAGGGCGGAAGTGGGAAGAGTACAGCTACATTGTATGAATTATAATTAATGTCATAAAACTGAATGCAAACTTACACTCAAATTACAATAAAAGAAAAAACAACACAAACTCAAACTTATTGCCTTCAAGTAGGAACCAACTCAAAGGTGACCCTCCAGCAAATTTTCAGAGTCTATAAATCATGTGGGAGGAGACTGGCCATTTTTCCCTTGAACCCACTGGTGAATTCAGACTGCCAGAGAGACACCACCTTTAGATTAACGATATAAATCCCCACAAATTGCGCCACCAGAGCTCCCTAAAACAAATAACCCCAAATGACAAGCAAAGAAATGAAAAGGGCACAGCTTGGATTGCTGATTTTCTGATCGTTGGGAGGGTAACCAACTTGATCGATGACTTCTTGATTTTATACCTTTGACATACAATAACTATCAAAAGACCATTTTCAGACTATTTATATAAATATACAGATTAGAGAAAATGAACAAAACAATGTAAATTACTTAAAGTAGGGGAGAACAGGTGAATGAGGCCAAAATAAACTTTTGAAAATGTCATGAGACACGCACAAGGTATGCATGAGTGCTCTGTGCCAAAATTGTTTATACTTAATGTCATCCTTTCCATGCATTTTACTCAGGTCCATTATTTTTTGGAGGAAATTACCGTACTTTTTACTTACAATAGGGAGAACAGTCATTTGGCAACATGGCAGTCTGGCAAACATGAGCTTTAAAAAGAAAATAGCCTCACCAGTAACGAACAGCCTGCATCATGTCATCCTGACATAGTCGCTGAAAAGGATGCCACACTTTCAGTGCTCCTGCCAAAACCCCTGCAGACTCACTGGAACCACTGGCAGCAGAACTGGGTGTGTGCGGTAGATTAGATCACATTATGGTATCACTGTCAAATGGCCTCATTTTGAAAACTGTGCTGTAGCCCTTGTTGAGAGGAAACACACATTCAAATATTAAGATACCAAGGGTTTGATATCTGCATCTACTCTCAGTTGGGGTGTAAGATGGGGAGGGAAGTGTGTACCTATATAGCCTACATAGAGAGGATGGCAAAGCAGGTGGCATTGAATGTTAACTTTTTAGTAACTGACCAAAACCATAAGGTAGGCAAGAATTTTGTGCCAGTTTCTGGAAGTTGATGTTGTTGTTGTTGTTATGTGCCGTCGAGTCGTTTCCGACTCATAGC